GAAGAGAGAGAGAGAGAGAGGACAGGAGTTATACAGGAAGATGTAATGTCAATAATGTTTCGGTTTTATCTTTTCCGAAAGTTATTTTAATTTCTTCCCATCTCTTTTCCCGTTTTTATCATAATTTGTTTCATTTTAAGTTGATAAGATCAAATACGTCCATCGGTGCTCTTTTTAAGGCTTATTCCCCATTATTTTTTGCTCTTTTGGCACCAGATGATGACATCCTTTTGTCACGCTGTACTAATCTTACTATTTTTATCAGAGGATGTAGTTATCAAAAATAATTAACACCATCTAACAGATTGGACATTATTGGCTAAAATTTCTAAATGGTAATAAATTAGTTTAGTTTTGAAATCGCATGCTTACGTGTTAGCCTTGTGTTTGGTGGTGCTGTATGATTACTATCAACAATTCTTTGTTAGCATCTTGCAGCTGTTATAAGAAAATGACGCTTGTTGAAAATAAATGGCAAGATGATCGTTCAATACTGCGTTCCCGAGATTCATTCTGGGACAGCGATCGTTGGTATTGTAATTGGGATGATTGGCCATTGGACTGGCCTCGACCTGGCGAAATTGTCCGACGCGTAAGTTTTTCTTTTCCTTTTGGATGAACATTTGTTACCAGAAACATTGAACTTGAAGTTATAGCTAAATGATTCAGAAGTTCTTAATCATATTATAGCTGCCCTAACTTTTTCGCCGTAACATCTCTTGCACCAATGATCTATTACTTTTGATAGGTCAAACCTATTACCTGCTGTGATGATCATTGTATTTGAGTGTTGTGTTTATTGTTGACTTCATGGGAGTTACGCAAGTAATTAAGGAACTTGATAAGTGAATAAAATTAACTGTAAATAGTGGCAGATAGGCAGACAGAGTCCATAAAATTAGAATGTAAAATAGTAAGATATGGTCACTGATTATGAAATATTGACAAAAATGGATTTATTTTGCCATTTTCTGTTCTATTATATTTCCCAGAAGGAATTTATCCTTATGATTGATTCAGTATAAATTCTGGTAGTTCCTCTAAAAGCTTTATCTCATATTTGTCATTCATTTTTCTTGCAGTACAATAGATGACTGATTGGAATGTCACCTCTTCTAGCAGACAGCAATTGTTTAGAGATACCACGAAACGGTTTATAAATAACATTTTATTCAGAAATAGAAAATACCAAATTCTTCGTGCGCTTTTTGATCCAACTGTTCTTCTTCCTGTTTCAGTCCTCTTCTGATACGTACAATCTATCACTGATTTATTCATTTCATTTCCTCATTCATTCACTCATTCGCCCATTCATTCATTCAATCTTCCCACTTTTTACATTTTCTTTCCTGGAGTAATCAATGAGCGAGCTTAAAGTTCTTTTTTTGCCTTTTTTACAGCCCAAAACATTCCTTACAGTTCCTTTCCACTTTTTTATACCATCCAATGTGTATTGAATTTTAAAAAACTCATTTTTAGATTTGTCGATTTAGTTATGTGATAAAATTCCGACGATGAAATCTCGGGAGATGGGATATCTCAATGTTTATTGCTATAATTAATGTCATCATATCACATCATTTATGTTTGGGACTAGACAAAAGATAGCAAAAGCTTAAAAAAAAAGAATACAAGAATTGATTTGCATATATGTGGCAATAGTTCATTATAAATATTTACAATGCACTTGTGTTTTCAGCTCAAACATATTTTGAAAAAAATGTTCGAAATTAAAGTTATAAAATTGTGAAGTAGAAGTTCAATTCCATTTAACTAATCTGTGAGTGACGACTGATGAAAAAGTTTTCCCATTCTGGCTGGATGATCAAAGTAATGATGTAATGTTTCATTTTAAGAATTTTAATGGAAAATTAATATCACACCTCATAGTTTTGTCAAATGACCTTGAGAAATAAATGCGCTATTCCAATAAAACGAATGCCTCTTTAAGAAACAAATTTCCGTTCTTTTGGATGATTTTGATGATTTGTGAAGTTTTTTTTTTGCACGAAATAACTACACTGATAAAATAATGAATTAATATTGATGGATTATTGTAGAATGACTGATTAGAGAGGGGATGATTTCATTTCATGATAAATTCAATTTTCCAGCTTTACTTCTTTCTCCTCCTTTTTCCAGACTGTTTGCCCATCATCTCGCGTCATTTTATCAAAATTAAAAAGATTTTTTTTGAAATCATTCTGGGAATCAATTAAAGTGAAAAAAGAAAAATTGGAACCGTTGCTTTTCATTTCCTGAAATTCTCTTTTAGGAAATTTATGAAAAATGGTACTACCGTATCAGTTTTGTTTAAGTATAATGTGCAATCAGTTAATGGTGAGGGCGGAAATAATCGCTTTTTTGCTAAAATATTCATAGCAGGGAATGAGGAAAAAAGGGGACTGTCGTCTCTCCCTCTCTTTCTCCCTCTCTCTCTCTCTTCCTTTCTTTAC